GCCAGGAGTGCTTTGGAGCTTAAATTAGAGCTGTTTTTAGTGGTACCGGAAAAAGCCAGAGTTTGAAAATAGCAAGCCTTGTTATTGACTCTCTGTGGTCACTGGCTTGCCTTGGAGTGGGTGGCTTCCTTCCCATCCCATTTAAATTCTAGGTTAGGTCAGTGTACATCATCCAAAATGAGGATTTAAAGGGGACTTGGTGTTTTTTCTTTTGAAATTGGTACCCTAATGTTATTTTCATGCTTAGTCTTAAGTAATTATTATGAAAATAATTATATTGAAATAATTTTCAGAATACTCTTATGAGTAGCTGAAAAGTCTTACGGTATTATATATTTACCCTAAAAATAAACAGTCTCAACAACTTTGAAGTTAGGATTATTCCAAGGCCATTAAGGAAATAAGGTATACAGGGTGCTGTTTACTTCCAGGGGAGTGGAGCAGGAGAGACATGTGGTAACCAGGAGACCTGGCTGAAAAGAAGAGGATTCTACCAGGACTCCAAAACAACTATGACGTGACTCGATGTCAGTGATACTACGTTAATTTGAAGATGGCAATAAACATTTAGGAAGATTTCAGTAATGTTAAATTTATTGGTGATAAAATAAATTGTAGACACATTAGAGAGAAGCACAGAGCTATGTTGAAAAAAGACATTACAGAAAAATATGTGACTGTATTAGAAATTAAAAGTTAAGAAACTGATTCTTTTATGTGAATTTATACCAAAAATAACGATTGCACTTATTTATAAAGTTCAGGTAATCAATATATAAAATTTTTTTAAGTTTTGCTTTAATAAACAACACATGTTATTTTGAACATTGAAGAATATATATATATATATATATATATATATATTTTTTTTTTTTTTTTTTTGGTACCAGGAATTGAACACAGGACCTTGTGCTTGCAAGGCAGGCAGAGTGTCACTGAGCTACATCCCTGGCCCCAGAATAGTTTTATTTTTGAAGATAATTCTTGAGTTACTGTTTTTATTTTTATTTTAACATATAGGAAAATTCACCCTTCTGGGATACAATCATGCAATCACAGGCACAATCAAGATACGTAAGATATCCAACACCTCCAAAGATCTCCCTATAATTATTTTTAAAATTTCACTTCTAAATTGTTTTTCCTAATATTCAGAAAATACAATTGATTCTGTAATGTATGTCTTGTACCCAGAAATCTTGTTAGTCCTAATAGTTATGAATCCCTTGGAACTTTCTTAGGATCACATCAACTATGAATAAAGAAAGCTTTTCTGCCTCCTTTCCATTCTTGGTACTTTCTTTTTGTTTTTTCTGTATTGCAGTTTCTAGACCCTCCAACACCTTGTTAAGGAGAGTAGAAAGGGTTGGCCTCGCTGCCGTGCTCCTGACCCAAGGGAGAAGGCATTCAATCTGTCCCCTCTAAATACAGTCTAGGCTCTGGGTGTTTTGTAGATGCCCCTTAGTGGATTAAGAAGTCACTTTTGCTCTTAGCTTGTTGAGAGGTTTTTGTCTTGACTGGATTTTGAATTTTGGAAAATACTTTTTCTTCATCTATACAGATTATTCAGCTTTTGTCCTTATTCTGTGGGTGTATTATTGCACTGTTTAATTTTTCAAGTGTTAAACCAGCCTTCTATTCCTGGCATCAGTCACACTTGTACATTATATACTATTATTTTTATGTGTATCTAGCTTTTATTTGCTAATATTTTAAGGATTTTTTGTATTTATGTTCATGAGGGATATTGATCCCTTGTATGAGGGATCTTCCTTTCTTATGATGTTTTTGTTTGGCTTTAGTAATAAGGTAATGCTGGTTTCGTAGATTGAGTTGGGAAGCTTATCTTCCTAAGTTCTGAAAGAGTTTGTGAAGCATTGGTATTATTTCTTTTTAAACTATTTAATAGATAGAAAAGCCATCTGGACCAGGGCTTTCCTTTGTGGAAAAATTTAAAGTTACTAATTCAGTTTTTTAATATCTGTGACATTTGTTCAACTAGGTTTGGCAAGCAGAAATATGTTCATTTCATCAAAGTTGCCAATTTGATAGAATAAATTTGTTTACGGTATGCCCTTATAATATTTTTACTGGCATAGTCTTTAAAAATTTAGTTTAATATAATAGGAGTAGATAATAATATAAAACACTATTTCTGTGAAAAAATAAAACAAAAAATTCCTAACAAAATAATTAGAGAATAACAATGGTTAATATGTTGTATATCATGATCTTTAAAAGAATGGCCTAAATGTTACTCAGAGTACACATTATAGACAAAAAAAGGATTATCTGTTATAAAGAAGAAACAAAAAGATAAAACATTCTTTTCAGTGAACAAAAGAAACTAGTAGTATAAATTAGCATTTATCTTAAAATATTTTTGAAACAATAGAATAGATAATTTGGGGGGTTATTTGAACTCTTTCTTACTTCCTGTTTATCTTCTGTTTCTTTCTTTCTCCTTCTAGCTATTGATCTATCATTTATCTGTCTGTCTGTCTATCTATCTATCTATGAGTCTCCCCCAAAAATGTATACACATTTCAGGAAAAGAAAAATTTGTATAAATATTTTAATACTAAACTTATTGAGACATCATGAGATTAACACGAGTTACATTTGGCCTCTACAATACAAGAGGTGCTCAAACTGGTGGGCATTGGCTTCCAGACATTTATTAGTATGGCGAACTGCCGCCTGGGTAACCTTGGTCACTGAGATTGCTGCACGAGCATTTTCAACTTCTTCTCTAAGGACCAGCTGTGTAGTGGGTTTTATGTGACACGACATGCTCTAGGGTCCCCCATACAAAAGTAACATGTTGAAAAAACATTATACTATTTTTCTTTTCCTAAAGTGTACATACATTTTTTGACAGACTATGTATATATTTCTCATAAGAGGAACCGTGTAATATTTAGGTTCGTGTTTCTGACTTACGTCACTTAACATTATCTGTGAATGCCTCAGATTTATCTTTTATGACGTAGTAATACTCCATTGTGTGTAGATGCCACCTTTTCTTTATTCATTCATCTATTGATGGATATATAAACTGTTTCCAAGATCTAGCTATTATAAATTGTGCTATTTATTATAGCTATAAAATAGCTATAATAGCTAAATCTAGCTATTATAAACATGGGTATGCATGTATTCCTGTAATATGATGACTTTAACTCTTTTGGGAAGGTACTTAGAAGGGGGTGGCTGAGTTGAATGGAATTTCTCTTTTTAATTTTTTGATTAATCTCCCCAGCAGTTTTCATAATACTGCCATAAAGTTGATAGTGATGTCCGTTGTTTTGTTTCTAAGTTTGGCAATCTGTGCATTTTTCTCTATTCATTCCGTCACTCATTCCATTCATTCATTCATTCATTCATTCAGGTCAGTCTAGCTAAAAGTGTTAATTTTTATCCTTTAAGAAAGAACTTTTATTTGTATTGATTTTTAAATGATGTGTTTTCTATTTCTATTTCATTGCTCTCTACTACTTGTCATTTCCTCTCTTCTGCTTTGTGTTTAGTTTTTACTACTTTTTGTCCTTTCTCAAAGTGGAAGCTTACGAAATGGATTTGAGAACTTTCTTCCTAATATAGGCATTTAAAGCTTTAAATCTCCCACTCACCACTTCCTTTACTGTATCCCATGAATTTTGATATCTCATGTTGGTTGTTTTTATTTGATCAAAAATATTTTCTAATTTTCCTTGCAACGTCTTTAACTTGAGGTTTATTTAGAAGGGTGTTGCTTAAATTTCCCTTACTTGGGGATTTAGAAATTTGGGGAACTAGAAATTATTTTGCACTTATATTACTTTTATTTTTTAAGCACCAGTTATTAAGAATGCCCTTAACTTCCAGTAAGTCTTCAGCAAAGTCAGAAAGTATTTTCTATAAATGGTCAGATGGTAAATATTTTTAGGCTTTGCAGGCCACATATGGTCTCTGTCTAATAGAGAAGATAGTGCTTATGCTCATCCCAAGTCCTAACCCAAATAAAATGTGTCCTGGGAGGTACAGTCCAGTGGTAGGATGAGGAAGCTTAACCTGAGAGAAAAAGGGTCAGGATTGGAGAAAGGCAAGAAATGGTATCATCATAGCCTGTAACACACAGTGTCCATGACGGGGAAAAAATTGGCTTTCCTGTCTGGTACCTATGTAGAGCCTGGGATAGAATGTTTTGTCCTCGGATAGAGTAGATGTCCTCCTCTAAAATGACAGTGTTCCCTGAGGAAAACTTCGTTCCTTATAAAGAACTTCCCAGTCTTCTCTCAAGACATAATGGTTTGGCAAGCACATAATTGTACTCACCATGGAACAGATTGCAACTATAGACATCAGTGAGGAGGGAATGTTTCAGTAAAGGAAAGCATTTAATTTGGGTAGAACTAAAGTAAATCTTCATAGGATACAAACACTTCAAATGAGTCTTTAAATGAGCCACATGGTGGACAGTATCTAAAAATGTTATTTATTATCATTTCATGTTAGGAGAAACTTTACTGTAATGGAAATTTCCAAAAGACACCCTAATTCTTAATTCAGAAACCTTCTGTCTGGTTCATATGAACCATCTGTAGTTACTTGGATGCTATAATTTGCAAATCTCCTATTGTCTATTCAGATAGAAAGTAAATCAAATAGCAGAGAACAAGTTTCTTGAATTGATCGTAATCATTGTTTTCTCATTCTAGCAATGACTTTTGATTTATTAGCGACAGATTTCTAGTTCATATTTAATGCTTTGTGTCTCCCCTCCCTCCGTGCCTGCACTTTTCCTGATTTTAGAAAGTCTATGACAGGCTAACTTAAAGGTCCCCACCAAAGGAGGAATGTTTGAACGCTAGCCCTAGATTCAGCATTTCCACATTTCTATCTGTGGGAATAGTTCCAGCTACTGCTTTCACTTAGCTGAACTATTAGAGCATGATTTTGTTTTATTTCCTTTAAGTTAATCAGAATGCAATCTATCTCGATTTTGATTTTGGTTGTAGAGGTCGGCGATTTGAAGGAGCTGCAGACACTAGACATTTCTGCCAACCGTTTGCCAACTTTGCCCGAGAGGCTTCACCTGTGCCTCTCCCTGCAGCACCTCACCGTGGACCGCAATCGGCTGTGGTGTGTGCCACGCCGCCTCTGCCAGCTGCCCAGCCTCAGCGAGCTCTCCATGGCTGGAAACCGTCTCGCCTTTCTGCCCCTCGGTAAGTGATTGTGTATACCTAGTAAAGTAAAACATAACAGAATAAAATGGAAAATGTTTCTTTTCTTTTCTTTAAAGTACTGGGGATGGAACCCAGGACCACACACGGGCTAGACAAGTTACATCCCAAACCCTCAGCTGTGTTTCTTTGACTGGGATGAATTTGTTTCTGATTCAATTGAAGATGCTTCACTCAGCCCATTTGTGCAGTGAACAAAGCATCATTCCCTGATTACAAATGAAATTTATTTCAATTAGGGATTTCATATTTTTTTTTAGATCAGTGCTAAAATTTTGTTTAGGGACATAATACATGAGCTGTGAAATGATCACTCTGAGCAGGGAATTAAAGTGTATGTTTGTAACTGTAAATTTGGCATGATCCCGAGCACGCTGAAAAGCGAGCTGCTGGCACCAGTGTATCTGCTTAGGTGTTGGCTTCCACCTAGAAAAGATGGCGGTGAGCACCCTAATAACTACCGCTGCCAGGTAACCTGACTACAAAACTATAGACTTTCATAGTGGCTGAGCTGCCTGCTGAGCCTGAAATGTCACCTTGGATAATAAATAGCATATTATCCACTGTAGATTTCTGTAGTTGGCTCATGTCAACATATTTTATGTCAAACAACATAAACTTTTAATAAACCAGTACATTCATTTCACTTAGAACTGAATTATTTTCTTAAGTTTTAAGAAATCAAAGTTCCAATGTAAGAAAATTAAAATGTGCAGTCCCATAGAACCCTAAACTGTCAAATAAGCGTCATATGATTTTACTCATAAAAGCATTTCTGTAATGAATAATTTATCTCTGAGGGCACTGAAGTGAATAATTTACTAGTCCCTGGAAGGAAATATTTTCTAACATAATATATTGCACTCATATTATTTTCATTTTAAATTTCTTCATGAAAACATTGTATCAGTTTACATAATAATAAATAATTATTGGATTTGATACCACTTTTCTACATATAAATTCAAAACTCATAATATTAACAAAATCAAATAAAGCCACTCCAAAAGCAAGCTATGTAAGAACTTAGAGCTTTTGAGTAAAAAGAATATCAAATGTAAATGTATTTTAAGAAATAAATGCACCTGCTACACTGATTCAGAGCTTACAGAACAGTTATAATGGGCAAGCAGCAGGTCACAAATCCAGGGGCCCACATTCTAGCCAGGTTCTGCCGCTTCACAGTGTGTGGCCCGCAGTCAGTCACCAGAACTGCTCGGCACTTCACTTCCTCTCTGTAAGCCCGGCATGATGCTGTTTGTCCTGTCTAAGGTGATAGTTTGTGGATGAAGGTTGGTTATAAAGCCCTGACTACTGTACCTGCACAAGTGGAGATAGCTCTCAAATAAGAAGATGAACATGCAATTACCAGGTCCGACTTCTAAAATTTTGTTACCCCTTTTCTCATATTCGAGACGTCCCCCACCCCACACCAACCACCAAACCTGTGTACCACTTCCTGAGGAAAATAAAAATGTGGCCTGTACCAGGACTGACTCCCTCCCAAGTACTTTCCAGGATGGCATAGTCAGCGCTGCTCATGAATGAAGGGAGGGAAAGTCAAAGGAAAGGAGGGAGGAAAGAAGAAAAGATACGATGGTTTGATTTGTGTGGCGTAACATCCATGTTAGGCATAGCTTCAGGGTTGGGAGTAAAGCTGAAAGGTATTTTTTAAGCAACCTTGTCTTACAGTTTGATTTTCAGATGTAACTAGAAACAGATTAGCTTGTTAAGTCTAGGGTTGCCTGTACTAATTTTCATATTATTATTATTATAGTGATATCTGTAAGGAATGTTTCTACACACAACACAATACTATGACTATTTGCAAGAATAACAATACCTTTCACTTATTGAATACTGGGTCTGGCCAAGTATTCCTTTTACTCTCTAATTTAATTACTATAAAGCCTTATAACAAAATCTTGCAGAACCCATAGACAGCTTAATTTTTAGGTGAGGAAATTGAGGTTCAGAGTAGTTAAGTAACCTGCCCCAAGTCACAGCTAGTAAGAGACAGAATTGAGTCTAGACTTTGTTTGATTCTAAAGCACACACTCTTTCCACCTTGACAGCCTGTCTTCACATTCTAGGCGGGGTCTCTGTGAGGGGACTCCATGGGGAACATGGCCGAGCCCTCTTGGAGCCTTTCTAGTCGTGTGGCATCTCCAGTGCCCAATTTGCTCTGCCATTTTGCGTTCTGGTACTGCCAAGGACTGCAAGTGGACTGGATGCGTCCATCACTCCCTTGTCCTGCCACGCCCGGCTAGTGCTTTTTCCTCCCGCTCCGTGTATCAGTCAGGTGTTCTTGGTTACATGCTTTCTCATTGTCTTGCTCCAGAAGATCCTTCAGCATCAGAAATCTTACAAAACGTTGACCAGAGACCTGTTATCTAGGTTGTTCTTGATGCCAGCAATTCTTCTTCTTACTTTGCCTGGCCCCTTTCAATTTCTGCAAAGCCACTGGTTCCTTGATTTTGAAGTTGTTCTAACAACTTGCTTCCTTGTCTTTTTGTTCCGGTTCTGTATTACATACTCTTTGTCTGTACTTTACCCCGTTCACTCAACTACCAGCTCCATGCAGCCTGCCAGAGCCCGATCCACGGCCTCGATCTCATGTCAGATAGCACATATCCAGCTCATATTCAGCTGTTATCCAGCTCTAGGGCCCTCACTCTGTCTAGAATCCCACAGGCTTCAACTTTTATTCTCCCTGCCTCACTGTAGCTCTCAGCCCTGGCTCCTCATTTTCTTGATCATTTGCCACCACTCCTGCTTTTGTTTTAGCAGTGACAGAGTCACGCAGGGGCTGTGGTGGCAAAGGGATTGGAAGAATACAGAGAATCTGTTCTTCCCGGAACCTGACCACTCGGTGTTTATGGTCCTGGGAGTGATGCAGGCCCTTAAGCAGCAGAGCATCGGACTTGCAGTGGCTGGTGCAGGTGATAGCAGTGGCTGTCAGGGAAGGACAGAGGGTGCTGCACACTGCCAACTCCCCTCTGCCTTGGCACTCTCACCTGTTTACTTGATTATCTCCCATATACACCATACTGAATTCTGGGGAGGGGCTAAGGAGGTGGGCATCTCCTCTTCCGAACTCAGTATTTAGTGTCAAGAACAATTATTACAGAATAATTATGTCTAGGTGACTTAGTTACTTTTCTCGTTGCTGAGGCAAAATACCCAACACCCAAAGTTAAAGGAAGAAAGGTTTATTTAGCACAAAGTTTGTAGATGTTTCAGTTCATAGTTGGCTGGATCCAAGGCAGGGTGGCCTGGCAGAGGGGCATCGCAGAGGAGAGGCAGTTCATGGCAGGCAGAAGGCAGCAAGTGACAAGCAGTAACAACAGCAACCCTCTTTCTGTCCCATATGGTCTATTGTGGCTACCTGCTCTTAGGGTGGGCAGCACCCACACCTAATGTGGGGTACCCTTAAGCCTAGAATCCCACCATGAGTCAACCTCAGGATCACATCCTTAATCTCAGGATTACACATGAGGTCCAGCCACCTCCACAAAGCTCCACCTATGACCTCATGAGGCTTCGGGGAGTTAGCTAGACACAGCCAAAACACTAGTGAACTGGATAATGTGGTGTCAGAGGGTCTGTGCTGGGCTCTGAGGAAAGCGTCTCTCCACAGCCGAAGTAACCACAACTCCAGGGCCTGGGGCTATAGATGGCCCCAAATGTGGAAGCAGCTTGCCAGGCTCACTAACGGGGAAAAACAGAGTCTGTGAATGGGAAAGAATCATACAAGCAAGAGCACAGGGGTGATGACTGTCCAGTATACAGCATGAAGCAATGCTCTGCCCTAGTGGAAGGCTTGATCCTTTGAGAAGTGTAAAGATAAAGGGCCAAGGAACAATACATACATTGGTAGCCTTGCTACCTGAGGTATGTTGGATACTCTTTGAAAAGAATTAGATGAGACAACAAAAGAGCTACCATGGGAGGTTACCCAGAGAAGGCTTCAGGAGATGGGATACAGGGTCACCCATGAGAATGGAGAAACTGAAGTGGACCAAATATCAGCAGTCTCTTTAGTCATGTTGTTTGGGCTTTATTTATTTATTTTTACTTCCTGTTAAAAAATTCTTTTGCCGCCATAAAGGCAGGAATGAAAAGGGAATTCAGTAGTCTTTAAGAAGAGAATAACTGTTCATGCACTTGAAACCTTTCATTGAGCTCCTTGATAAACCAAAGACACCTAATGCTGAGAATTGTCTGCGAGAAAGTCAGATGAAGCATAGGGCTGCAGGTCCTCCCCTTCCATACAGAATGGAACTGTTCTTAGAAACTTTGCAAGCCAGGGTACCTCTGGGCTGTCGTTTGGAGATCTCTACACACTGCCCCTCTTCCTGAAGTTCTCCAAAACGAGACGGTCCTATGTTTAGCCATGGTTCTAGGTGCCTAATATAGGAACCTGCAAACTGTGGGAAATGGGTGCTGGATGTCTCTGCCTGTGCATGGAGGTGGGAATCTTATTTTGGGAGCCACTTACTGAATTCAGTTTCTTGCCAAAGAAGTTCGACTTAAGAGGAAACTAGTTTTTATGGGTTTTTTAAAGGATGTCAGATTGTGGCTACTTCAGAAGACAGCTGCAGAAGCTCTATATGGGATGACTTAAATCACTTGCAATGCTGTTGAACTCATTAACCCTCTGAGTGTGTTCTTAAGTCACTTGTAATACTGTTTGAAACCATTAAGATACTTTGACTGTGTTCTTCTTCAGATGAAAAGATGTATCAAAAAGGATGCTCCTATGACTACTGTACCAGGACAATTGAGTGACAGATGAGAGACAGAGGCTTTGTTCACAGTGGTGACTATCAGCAGAGGAGGAAAAAAGGAGTCACTTGAGCCTAGTGCTAGGAAAGTTAGCTAAGGTCTACAAACTTCATTTCCTGTCGATTCAATACAGCTCTGTGGACTAAATAGCTCACAGAGTTGTGACTCACCTTTTGGCTTTGAAAGTGTAGGGA